GATAGATTTGTAAAGCAGTTAAAAATAAACGTAATACATAAAATTTTGGAGGTTATATGACCATTTAATAAAGCCTTCGCCACGTTTTCTTCATAAAAAAGCATTATTTTTAATTTATTTTATTTATCTATTTTTTTCAAAGAAAAGATCTGCATAAAATTAGCCAATCATTTTTGTTTTGTTTTTTTCTAAAAGATTTCTAGATTGTCTATCCTTACAGTATTTGGAAATTCCATATTTGGTAATAATCCTGACTGTAGTAGCCGAAATTTCCCAATACTTTGGGCAAAATTACTTTTTTATAAACCCAAACTACTTTTTGTCATTAGCCGAAATTGGGTGAAATTATTTTAAAATTGTTTAAGTTAAAACAAGTTGATTGATATAGTTTTTTAATGTTCATGCTTATAAAAAGTGTCTAGAAGCCCAAATTGCCAAACTAGTTTGGGCTTTGAGAAAACAGTTTGGGCCAGAAACCTTAGTGCTGACCACACATTATTATCAAACTAATGTGGAGGCAATTTTACATAAGTAATAAAATAAATGATAAAACAATTGATAAATTTTGTTTATACTTTTCAAAAAACATTGTCACCTTTCTATTAGGGTGCTGACATATATTTTAGGGGGTAGAGGATAACAGAAAATCTTAGGTCACACATAATCTCATAAATAACGTGATCATAATGGCTTCATTGAAAGATCTGCATTTTTATAATTTTGAATTGAGTGTTTTAATTTTGGAATGATCTACATGCAAACCAATTGTCATTTACAAAAAAAATTGTATTACACTTTTTGTCTACAGGATGATATGGCAATTAGTTCTCACATTCTCATATACATAAATGCTATAATTAATCATTCTTTATCTGATATACATTTCCTTAAATATATTTTGTCAAAAAGAGGCCACTTTTGTTGTGATTGAGAAGAGAGAAATCATCAAGAATCCTTGAGTTTTGTTCTTTAGATTTTCCTTTAGCAGGATGCATTGTTTGTAATTTTCAAATAAGTAAGATTTATTACACTCTGAACCAAATAGGTTGTTTTGTCAAAGAAATAGCCAATGCAAATTATACCCAGGAATTCCAAGAGACCATAATATATTATAAAAGGAATTTTTTTTACTCCGATGTTGCTTTTAAAATGTATGATTTATTAATAAAATTAATTCTTTTTTTTTTGCTTGTGCTTTGTTGATACCTAAAAAGGCAAATGATTTTCACACACGTGATCAAAATGTCTTACCTGGGGGTAATGATATTAGCTAATATATGTCAGCACCCTTACTGTCTTCACTTTTTTCAAGCCAAGAGTAAACTTGTAACCAAATTGGATCAAAATCTTCAATACTTTATTTAATTCTTGTTTGGTTATTTCCTTATTTTTTTGCTTTTGTGTAGTTACTGCCTGTTTGGATCTTTCATTACTTTTTTCTTTATTTTCACAAATAACAAACTTATCCATTTTTGAATACTTTCAAAAGCTTTAATGTGAATGGAGCAAATAAAAAGATATCTTATATTTGAAAAAGTTCATCAGAAAAAAATAATGTGAAAAAAAAAGTAATGATTTTTTACATAAGGATTTGTGAACTGGCATTAATATATATAATTTAATATTTTATTTGATCCAACTGAATCTTGTACATTAAGCCATAAATTTATAAAAAATTGAGGTTGGATGGTACACATCTCTAAAATTATACTGTGCACAAATAAATTGTTATGCTCAAAGCACACATTCCACACATAGATTTTAGACACTGTATAGATATATTGTCTTATATTTCTGTTAGTTTTTTTTTCCCATTACAACTTTGTTTATTTTCTTCTTTGGGATTTGAAAAATTAATATTCTTTCATGCATTACTTCAAATGATGTTTTATTTTAAGAATATTATATTAGATATAGGTTTATTAAAAATAAGTGGAGAACATCATCAATTATATGGTTTTTTTTAATTCTTTAGATAAAAAAACATTGGATAATATATTAAAAATAAAAAATTGTTTTTTTAATGATTATATATGAAGTTACATGTCTTATATGGGCGAAGCTTTTACTTTTTGACCATGTTATATGCTAAAATGGGTAAAGGGGAAAAAATGTTGCATGCTTAAAAGGGCAAACAATTTCAAAATTTTTGGGTAAAGCTCTCTAGAATTTACTAATAGCCTGGATGTTACCTCAATTATAATAATTTAGGGACCTGCTACAGGACCATACATATTGCCAAAATTATTTAGCTTTGACTTGATTCATAAAATCTCAGTTTTTAATTGTGTCTGACCCAATTATATGTTTTTCATGACTCAATTAATTGTGTCAAAAAGTACCTGATTGGGTCAAGTGACCAACCTATTTCTACATGCATATACAGGATCCTGGATAATTATAATAGAGTAGTAGAAAAACCTAACAGTAAATTTTGAAAACATTATCCATTTTCTTTACCCTATTTTTTCATATGACAAAAGAAAATTTATAATTTTTACCCACTTAGGAATATGACTTCATATAATATGATAGATGTATTTCTATATATCAAACCAAATTCCCATCCAATGAATCAAAATAATTAATCTATCCTTAATCTATTCTTAATAATCAGGTAGAATCACTCTCATGAAGATATATGATAGTGCATCTAAATTAAAATCAAATTTTTCAAGATAAGCAAATAAATTCCAAATACAAGCTCAAGAAGTGTCTGATAAATATATGAAAATAACAAAAATATAGTCCAATGGTATAGAAATATTGATGACACACAGACTTGTGTATTAAATGCTGACACATGGTTACAATCAATTCTGACACACAGAAATCCTAAACTGACACATGGGACTTCTCAAATGCCCAACACACATGGCTTCAAAAATGGCTAAAATAAAAATAAAAAAGATATATACATACCTATTCAGCTGAAATTTTAAGTAAAATTTTCACATATATATATATTCCAATAAAAAAAATTATCCCTTATTTTATACTTTGTAAATCATTTCTAAAATTATACTAATCATTACCAAACACGATGATGATGATGATGATGTTTGTATAACCTACCTACCAATTGATAGATGAAAATGATAAAGTCCGTAATTAAAACCATCTTATACATTGAAAAGCCTTTTAAATTTTCTTATCTTTGCCACAATCATCATCCAAGACATCATTTAACATATTTTGCGTCTATAAAGCAATTTAATAAAGTATCATCATCATCATTGTCATCAATTATTGAAGAAAAAAACAATAATGATCCAAATACAACAACTTCAACAGCAACAAATAATAATCCTAGTAATAATAAAACATTGAAACGATCACCAATAAAAATCATTGGTGTTAAAGAGCCACCAAATTTGGTGCTTGAAGAAACAAAAACTCAAAAAAAAACTTTGCTGGAAGGACTAAAATATAGATTTACAAAAGAAGGAAATCTTGAAAAAAGAAATGAATTGTATGCTTAATAGATAATAATAACAACAACAACAATAATTATTATTTTAGAGAGATTAATTTTATTTTTTAAATAAATTTGTAGAATCAAAGAATATAAAACTTCATTTTTTAAAGATTTCCATCAATTAAGAACAGAAGGTATTAAATTATGGGAAGCTAGTACAGAAATTAATAAATCAGAGGTAAATTATACATGATAGAATAATAAATTAATACAAGAATCCTAAATGATTTCCTAATTTTTAAAAAAAGGATGCGTTGTATATGCCAAATATCAAAACAAGATCATTGTCAACTTCACAGGTCAACACTACAGAGTTATTAAAAGGTCACATTTCTATGGTTGTCATGTATTTTAATAGATTTGGACAGGTACACACACAAATAATCAGACTGATATGCATATTTAAATATGTAAATGTTTATATGTCTATTTATATATGTTTATTTATATATGTTTATTTGATTTAGGATCAATCAAAAAGTTTCATTAAACCATTCCTTGAAACGTTTTCAAATAACTCCAAAATACAGTATATTGAGGTAATAAAAATCTTTGTTTTTATTAGATTTTTGCTTTTTAAAAAAAAAAAGTTATTTTATTAAACAAATGGTTTATATATTTTATAAAATAATGAAGGACAGATGAACATTGAAACAAATATTCTTAAATCATTGATTCTCAAATTATTTATTCCATCAATTCGCAGCCAATATCCAAAATCACATCATGTATGTATCTGTATCTTAATTTTATTAATATGTTTATTATCATTACTATAGGAAAAAATCAATCAAATTAATTTTTTCCAAAAAAAAATTTTTGAAGAATAATTATATTTTTGTTTTCCGTAATGATCAATCATTATTTGAAGCATTGGAGATAAATAATATATCAAGAGGATATATTTTTTTGGTAGATAAAAATTGTAAGATCAGATGGTCTGCACATGGTTTTGCAACTGTTTCGGAAATTGAAACCATGAAAAAATTAATAAAAAATCTAGATGAAAATAACAAATAAAAATGTAAGAGAATATTTTTATTTTTAATTTCAATTTTAATGTGAAATAAATATGTTATTTTATTTTATTTTCTTTAATTTAGCAATAAAAAAACCAATAGTTTTTCCACCAATATCATTACAATCATCTTCTTCATTCATCTTCATACTTGCACTAGGATCAAATCTTTGTACCATCATTCTTTGCTCATCACTTAAACCAGCATTCAAAAGGCCTGGTTTACCCAATTTTATTTCAGGTTCTAATAAAATTAAATTTCCTTTAAAGGTTTGTAATGCCCATGATACAATTTTTTCATTTTCGGATGGATTTATCTATTATGTTCAAGAGATGAAAAATATTTATGTTAAAATAAAAAAATTTTATTTTTATTAACGCACACATATATATACCGTGCAAGTTGAATATATTAATGTTCCACCAGGTTTTAAGAGTGAAAAAGCTGATTCAAATAATTTTTTTTGATAAGCAGGTTGTGTATCTACTAAAGTTGATAATTTTATATGATTAACAGAAAAACTTGGTCTTTGTCCTATTTATATACAAAATATATAATAAATGTTATTATTTGAAAAAAAGAAAGGTATATATATATATATATATTTATATTTACCAAGATTAGTACAAGGAGGATCCAACAAAATATGGTCAAAACTTTCTGGAGGGAATCCTTTAATCTTATTATTATTATTATTATCATCATTGCCACTCAACTCCGTCATCAACAACTTTTCAAAACTAAATTCATCAATATCTTTTTGTTGACAAAGTACTGCTTTTGTGCCATCTAAGCAAAAACACTTTACAAGATTTTCTTTGACTTTACAATCTTTACAATTTTTTCTAATTTTTTCTAATTTTTTTTCTGACCTATCAATTGCTATAACTAAAGCATCCCTTTGTTCTTCTTTTTGATTATCATTATTACCATAGTTGTTGGAGAAAAGATTTGCTATATGAGTTGTTTTGCCACCTGGTGATGCACACATATCTAATACACGTTGATTTGGTTTTAAATTTAATAAATGTCCAGTTAAAATACTTGGTAGATTTTGTAGAAAAATTAAGGATTTTAAATTTGATAATGATGGTGTACGATAGATTGGTTGTGTCATTAGTACACCTATTCCTGATATCAATGATGGATCAGTTTGAAATATTTGATCTCGACTCTATACACATGTTAAATTTTTATTAATAAATTTTTAATGATATAGATAAATGTACAGATGGATGGATGGATGAATGACAAACCAAAATCATCTTTCCATTTCCAACAAATAATTTTCTACCAGTAAAATTTTTTAAATATCCCCTTAAACATTTACCATCTAAATCAACCTTATAACAACAATTATATAAAATAATGTTATATAAAAATAATATAATTCTTTTTTCCATCCAAAAATAAAATTATTTATTTACCATTATAGCAACATCTTCATTAGCTTCCACTTTGAATGTTTAAATTTTTTTGTTATTAATTTATTTGGCTAAAAATTTTATTAATTGATTGAAATTAACATCTTTACCATTCTGAGCTGCTAAAACTCCTGGCTTATACATAAATTTTTTTTAATTAATATTATACATAAATATATACATACTACACACACATATAAAATGAAACTCACTGCAAAAACATCAGCACCACGAAGAATTGAAACACCAGTATGAACATCAACAATAACTTCTTTTTTAAAAGGTTTGATATTATCAAAAGGTCCTCTAACTGGAACACATAAAACATCAGGAAGAATTGAATGTTTTTTGATTTTCATATTTGACCAATTCTTTTTTTTACATTGCTTTAATTTTTTTTTAGAAAATGTACAATAGATATTATTATTACTACTATTAAAAATTACATGTAAGGTAATTTCTTCCTTACCTCGTCAACTATATCTTGAATAATTTTTTGTATTTTATCTATTGAACTTTGATTTATTACACGAAGATAAGTCATACAAGGTGGTATAGCTAAAGCAGAACATATATCATTCCATTGTTGATTTTCATTGTCATCAATTTTTTCATTATTATTATTATAATTGTAATAATTTAGAAAATAATTGTTTATTTCTTCTGAAAATTTCACTGGTTTTAATTCATTAACGCTCAAATGTTCTTGTAAATTATTTTGAGCATAATCTAAAATCATAGTATAATTTTCAAGATTAGGATCTTTCTTGTGTTAAATCAGGATAGCTCAAAACATTGTCATGACAATGATGAACCCATAATTTTCCCAAAAGAAAAATTATATATATATATAGATAAATCTACATAATTTTTATTTTTCTTCTTTGTACTCTGGAAACTGATTATTGTAAGTGGATAAAGTATAATATATATATATACATTATTTCCTTGTTTTGTTCACTTCTACACAGATTTTCCTCGATTAATAAAAGAAGTATGGCTCATTAGCTGGAATTTTCTGATTTAATGTTATTGTTAATTTGACTGAAAGTTTCATACCAATGAGTCAACATTTCTCCTCCTTACCTCCTTTATTTATTATTATTTACCTCGTGGGTCATTTTTTTTCGTATAAACAAATAAGTAAACAAAAAACATCGTGGTAGATTGATTAAATTAAAAAAGAAAATTTTTTTTTTAATTTCATTAAATATATTACAAAAGAATAATAGTATTATAGTTGTATATTTCTATTACATCTAAAACCCATTAACAAACTAAAATACAAATAAAATACAAAAATAATAAATAAAAATTGATCAATGGTCCATTCATCTCTATAATCACATATATATATAATATCATATGCTATTATTATTATTGTGATTATTACTAGGTTCAGCTTTTAAGGATAATGCCATTAACTCTGCTTCTAATTCTGCGCCATCCGATAACGCAATAGAGGCCAAATTACCACTAAATATTGAACCAGCAACAGCATACATACGCCTTTCTATCACTTCACCTATATGATCTAACGGTGCAACCACATTACTATTACTACTATTACTATTTGAACGATTATGATGATGATGGTGGTGATTGTGAGATATTGTAGTATTATTGTTGTTACAGTTGCAGTTCGTGATAAATTGTGGTAAACGTGATAATTGATTTGAAAAAGAATAAATTTCCAATGTAGAATTTATTATTTTATAAACATTCTTTACCAGTAATCTAAATTTTTCAAAATTTATTAACTGTGTTGTTGTTGATGATGATACGGTATTTAATGACGTATTTGAAGAAGATAACTTGAGTTCTTGGGTTTCTGATTGATGCTCTTTCGTTGACGTTGATAAATTTGATGGATTTCGTAATTTTACTTCTCGTTGATGACCAAGTGGTAAATAGGTGGGATTACCTTCCATAATAAATGTTAAATCTTTTAAAAATGTGGCGAAAAATGGCACAACAGGAGACCTATTATTGTTGGCATTTGTTAAAGCTTTTCGATAATTTTTCATATTTCCAGATGTATCAATTAATTCTTCGATATTTTGTAAATTCAAAATATCCTGATTTGACAATGATTCCCATGTTTTCTCTAGTCGGCGAACTGGTCGTGAATTTAATGCTAGCGCTATAAACATTGCTGTATGAAAATTGCTCCATTCTCTACAATACTGTTTGTTTATATCGGCGAATCAGAATATAATTAACAAAAGTTTTTTTAAAATAAAAATAGATAATGATGATATATACTAACCCTTGCTGCTTCAATGAATTTATGTAAAAGTAACTTTCTTGCTTTTACAGATTTTAAGCTACAAATTTCATGAGCTATCCAATGACTTAACTAAATATTAATTAATAATTAATTATAAAATATATATATATAAATATCAACTTTTTCAAAAAAAAAAAAGCTTATTATTTTACCATGTTAGATCTTCTCGTAAAAGCATCCAATTGACTTTCATATGTTTTTAAATTTACACCACCATTGTTATCAACACTCGAATTGTCACTAGTACACGAATTGCTGCTACTACCGCCACTTTCAAACGTTTGACGTTTTTTCCACCAAATAGTAATGAAATCAAAGAATGTAATAGATTTCAAAGCACAATAATCCATCAATGTTAAATATTTTGCTATAGATTTAGGTTCAAATTCTAATAATGGTGAGGAATCATTCAATGTTGGAATCTGCAGTGGGATTGGAATTGAACAATTTGATGATTTTTTTGTTAAAGGTAATGATGGTATTGTAGTAGTAGACGTTGATGATGTTGATGATGAGGACGTTGATAATGAGGACGTTGATAATAAGGATGATGATAAAGAAGAAGAAGGTTCTGATTGCTGCTGCTGCTGCTGCTGTAGCATCGGAGATGATGATTGTGGATTAAATGATGATGACATTGATAGATTAGAATAACGTTTTGAAAAAAGATTTCTTTGAACTTGTCGTGATTTTTCCATTTCTAAAGCACTTTGAATATATTCAAATTCTTCATGAAATCCACAACTAATATTATTTGTTGTGGTGGTAGTTGAAGTAATTGAAGTAGTAGTTATTGTCTTCATCACATTATCTTTTAAAAAATCCATTAATCGCTCGTATAATTTATAGTCAATAAGAAAATCCTGTGGTTGTATTGCTACCCATCGTTCAAATACAATCAAAACTCTAAAAGTAGTATAAAATAGGTGAATAGATAAATAAATAAATATAATTATTTGATAAAATGAAAAATGAAAAACGCATACTTTTTTTGAATTAATGGGTTTTTATTTTCTGTGATAAATCGAGCTATCATACTCTCAAGAAAATCTTCTGAAGTGATAAAAAACACATGGCTTAAAACAAAACAATCAATAAATTCGTTATCTAAAATTTATAAAGAGAAGAAGAAGAGGAAGATGTTATTTTTAAAAATCATAACCATGATAATATTAGTAATTATATAATATACCTTGTTCATATTCATCAGCCAATCTTAATAACATTTTCTCAAGGGTACCTGCAAGAACTCGAGGACTATATAAAATCATAATTATCATACAAGCAAATATTTAATAAGATATATTTGCCAACTCGTTAATTTATCACAACAATTATCTCATAGCTTTTACCTTCCATCCACCAACTCAATAATCAATCCATCTTGTGACGATTCGTAAATTTCTTTAGTTTTTAATGATTCAGGCAAAGGCTTGGATGGTTCATCTAAGCTATTTTGATTGTTACAATACTCATTATTAACATTTGAAGGAGATGTTCCCTATTATTACGGTTTCCCACATCAAAAAAAAAAAAAGATAAAAAAAAGATAAAAAAAAAATAATAAATAAATTATTTATAATGATAATAATAATAATAATAATAATAATAATATCTTATTAGTAGTTAATTACCTCATTAGGACGTGTAAATACATTAGAAAATTTGATTAATGTGTTTATACTTGGTTTCTTTTTAATATTACTATTTGAGCTTTTTTTTATAACCATTTTACGAAACAATTGTTCTCTAAGATTATTATTAGCACCGTCATTATCGTTATCATTGTCATTGTTGCCATTGTTACCATTACTACCATTAATATCACTACTATTGTTATTATTAAAATGATGATGATGATGAATGTTTTCAACGATGATATTATTAATATCATCTTTTCCAATAAGATTATCAGTGTCTGCATTTGTTGTATATACTGAACAGCTTCTACTACAAACTTTTTCATTATTATTACTACCATTATCATTGTTACCACCATTGTTATTACCATTATTTTGTTGATTATGATGTTCTTGTTGATGGTGATGACTACGATGATTGTGATTGTGATTATGATTATGATTATTGTTATAGTTATAGTCATAGTTATGATTATGACTTTGACTACGATTATATTTTTCTGTTAAAAGCCTTTCTAAATTTCTTAAATCTGATTCACTATTCATTTTATTAAGTTTAGATCTTTTATTTTTAGCATTTTTACCACCACTATTACTCCCAGTATTATTGTTACCGCTAATACCACTTATAACACCATTTAAAACAGAACCTTTAAATAATGAACGACCCGGGAACTTATTACTTGAAGAACTGTTATTGTTACCATTACCACTACTATTATTGATATTAAAATTTGGTATAGATGGGGAAGAAGGTGAATCGAATACCATCGGATTTTCTGTCACAGGCCAATAATTTAATGAGTCATATTTTGATGTTTTTAATGTTTTTGAAGAGGAATTATTAGATGAGGGAGAGATTCCGGATGAATAAATATGTTTCATGAAATATGATTTTATATTACTATGTGAAGAACGTCTTGGTCTTGGTGATGAATTGTTATTGGTGTTATTGGCGTAGTTTGAAGTATTTTGTCTCGAAGATTTTTTGTTAATAGTAATATTATTATTACTATTGTAATTGGTGGCTGTGGTATTGGGATTCGCGTTTGCTTCTGCAATAGTTCTTGAGCTTGAAGTGAAGTGATTATAATGGTTTTCATCTTTACTTAAAACATTTAAATTTTCTCTACTATATTTTTTTGAACTTGTTAATGACAATGAAGATTTAGAAGGTCTATTATTAATCGTGTAGAATGTATGCTGATTATTATAATAACTATTACGGTGATTATGATTATAGTTGTGATTATGATTATTATAATTATGATGATAATGATGATGATGATGATGATGATGGTGTCGTTCAGTAATTGGCAATGAATGTGTTAAGAGGCTAGTGGTGGTGGTAATGGAAGTAGCATGAATATTGTCAGTATTAATCGTAGCATCAACATCTGATGGTATAAGACGATTACTTGAAGAAGATCTTTGACGATGCAGATTTTGATTATGATCTAAGTCTTGATTATGAATTTGTAGTTTATTATTATAGCCATCATTGTTGTTGTTATTATTGTTGTTGTTTTTCCAACTATTTAAAGCGTTAACGTCTTTTTCTATGATCCCTGATAATAAATTAACAGGCATTCTGGGTAAATCTGTATCTTCCAAAAAATGTTCTTTAAATTTTGAAGAATTTTGGTGTTTAAGATGACCGTTAACATTATTTGATAAAGATGGCGATAACAATGATGGTTCATCTTCGTGTATATTAAGCAAGTTTGTAGTTACTAATTTTAATGGTGGCGGTAAAGTAGAGGCATTATGTAAATGATTATTACGATCGTTGTTGATGTTGGTGTTGGTTGAAAATAATTCGTAAGAGCCTGATAATGGTGAAATTGGTTCTGTGTCAATATTATTGCTATCATTATTATCATCATTAATATTGTTGTTATTGTTGTTGTTGCTATTAAGTTTTGGTAAATGAGGTTTACGATTTGGTATCGGGTTGTGATGATGAAGATTGTGATAACGATGAAGAAGAATATTCTGACTATGATTATTTCCAGTAAATACAAGTTTTTTTGATCTAGCTGTTGTAGTTGAATACAATGCAGCAGGCATTGTAACAGCAGACGAAATTGAAAAATTAGAAGTTGCGTTAGATTTACTTGAACCTATACTGCCAGCTCTCTATTATCATTAAACAAAAATAAAGTAATGAATATTTTTACGCTCACATATGTTAATAATAAACACATTTAACAGCAAAAAAAAAGTCAGTTTTACCGATCTAAAACCACCAGATTTTGGAATATTGTTTGAGAAAGAGTGTACAGGTGGCAACGATGATTGTCCAAATTCGGAAATAGAAGTTGCCGTACTATTACTTCTACTATTACGGACATATTTTTGGTTATCTTTTCTTGCATTCCTATCACCACCTTTATAATTCCTACTATTTTCTTCACCATTTTCGTAATTATATGATGATCTTTTTATATCTGAAGTGGTAAACACGGATTTTATCGGAATTGTAGAACGTCTTTTTAATGATGATAGACTATTCATAACTTTCTTACGAACTAAGGAAAAGAAGATGTAGATTTAGAATATTGGTAAGAAGATTAAATCATTTGAACTTGAACATCGAATAATAAAACTATTAATTATAAATTGTAGGAACACTTACAACTATTCTTTTTCCTATGATAATAAGAATAAGAATCATAGTAGTACAATAAAATAAAGGATAAAGGGCGTGGGTGTGATGAGTGAAAATTCGCGTAAATCAAAGCAAAGATAATAAAAAAAGTAAATTCAAACTAACTTTTTAAATGGATGATCTTCGCTGATACTACCTTCGATTAAGGACGATGATGGTGATTGTTCCTCGATATTGTTTATATTAAGTTCTATTGCTATATTAATACATATAAATATAATTAATGATATGTAATTTTTTTTCTTCTAAATCAAAAAAATTAAATAATAAGCTTGCTTACGTTCTTCATATATAATTGGAAGATGTAACAGAACAAAATTTACAAAAGAAGTTAACGATTCAACCAAAAGGCTTGTATGAGAAATCAACTCTTCATAAACCATCTAAATTAATTAATAAAAGAATTGTTAATTGAATAATAATAATAATAATAAAATTAAATTAAATACCCTTTATAATAAAAAATTTATAATTTATAATTTATTAATTAATTTATTTACCTGGCCATAGGCAATGAATTCATTCACTTTTCCTTGAGCAGTGATAATTCTAATTTGTTTTAATACATGATCAGATTCTTCATTAACTTTGACATTCAACTCATTATAAGCATCCAAAGTTTCCGAATCATCAAATGCACTTATCAAAGTTTGACTATGTTTTGATAATAAAGTTCTAATTGTATTTGTTAAAAGTGACGAGGCATCTATAAGCTTTATTAGAGAAGAACTTTTTGTAGGATTTATTGATTGGGCTGAAGCAAATGATGAATTTGAAGTTCTGGATGACGAATGACTTTGACGTTTTGCATATTGACTACCACCGCCATATCTAGATCTACCATTATTGTTGGTACCCTTATTGGAATATTCATCCATAGAGTTGCTAATATCAGTTGTAGTGTTTGGGTTTAGATGTTGATTATCGTCATCTTGTTCTTCTTTGGTATTATTAATGTTGTCGTCATTTTGTAAAATTGAAGCAGGTCTTGAAAAACTTTTTGTTGTGTCATTATCTTCCGATATTTGATTATTATTATTATGATGATTATGGTTATCATCATCACCATAATCATCATCATTATTGTTATCGTAATAAAGACTACTATTATTATCATCGTCCACCTCCTGCTCGTAATAATAATAATCATCACTGTTAAACTTGGGTGGGTTAACAAGCAATAAGGGTGGAGCTAATATTAAAATTGAAAGTAAAGCAGCTTCCAAAGTTATAAATTGATTCTAAAATAAAGTGTGGATAGACAATGTATACAAATAAATATGTGCAAGTGATACTATCACGTGATCATATGATTAAATATAACGCAAATTGCTTACCTGCCATTCACCATTTTCTAATTTTTGATCGAAAACATAAGATTTTTCATTTCGTTGCAATAATTTAAGTTTATCCAATATTGCCTTAACATTTTCAGGCAGTTGAAGATAAAGTAATTCGCTCGCGTCATTTAATTGCTGTAAAATGTCCAATTCGTTTGTTCTCTTTGAAAATCTTCTATCGGCGTTATCACAATCGAAGTTACCATTAATATTATTAGCATTCGCATAATAATTATTATTACTGGTAATTGTTGTATTAGTGGTGGCAGTTATAGTACTAGAACTATTATTGGCGGTATTGGTTGCAGTATTTGTGGCGGAGGTAGCAATAGATATTGATTTTACGTGTTGTTTTGATAAATCTGAATTTATTGATTCTTGATTCAAATAATCGTTGAATTCTTGATCATTAACATTATGAATGTTATTACTATTGTTGTTGTTGCTGTTTGTATCGAAATCTTCATTAAAGCTGTTGTTGTTGCTATTATTATTATCATTATTATAATTATTATTATTGCCGTTACTTCTAAATATCATTTTCTTTACTTCCCATACCATCTTTAATTTTTAAATAAGGATGAAAATTTTAAATTTTTTTTTATTTTTAATTAATATAATAATAATATTTTGTAGGCGTAGTTATTTATTTAATATTTTTTTATAAATAAATTTTGATCAAGGAAAAATAGTTTTATTTTTAAAAATTTTGATGGTGATGACGATATATGATGATGGTTGTATGTGATAGGCCCTATTCTTTAATTAGTTTGGTCTAATTATCTGACAATTGATCAAATTTTGAACAGTTTTATATTTTGTCGATGATTTAAAAGTTAATCCAAGAATTAATCTAGAATTTTAATTTTGTGATAGAGAGAGAATGAGAAAGAATGAGAGGAGAAATTTGTCGTGAAATATCAAAGTAAAAGAATGTGTGAATAATATATAAATTTTGTAAAAATACAGAGTAAAATAGAAAAAATTTTTATTTGCAAGTTGTTATAAGAACTCAATATTTGATTGGAAATTTTTTTAAAGATACAAAAAAAAAATAATTCATAAAAATTTTATTTTTTCAAAAAATAATTTAAATCAACAACAAAAGATGATATTAAAAATACGAGTTTTTTCAAAAAAGAATTGTATTTATATATATATATTATACCCTGGTAGATTTTTATTGTTGTTGTGTTGTATATTTATATTTAGGAGGAAAAAAATTTTTAAGGAGATTAACAAAATATTAATCGAAGTTTATTGATAACGTTGGTAGCAAAAATTGAAAATATGGATGAATTTTTTCATAGTGCACAATTGCAGATCTTCAATAATCATATGCTAATACAAATATAGCCAAGAACTTGAATTATTTGACATATCCCATCATGATAAATCAAAAACCATGAGTTACATTGTTCTTTTCACGAAGGCCAATTTCTCTCAATTTACAATTATTACAATTATTAATTATAATTATTCCTCCTCGTGGTCCTTTATCGTTGTTAAAATTATCTATATAATTTTATGATTTCTTTATTTTTATTATTATTATTATTATTACTACTATCACTATTATTAACAGTGAGAGTGAGTGATATACAATTATCATTAATTTTGTTGGTAGAGTTTATATACTATCATTATTATCATTGCATTATTATAATTTCAACCATCTTTACTAATATCATTGTTATTGTTGTTATTACTAATATATTACTACTTACTACTACTCTATTACTGCTATCTTTATTTCGAACTACCATCCTTTATAAATAATAATATTATCACTGCTGCTGCCATCAATAATAATGTAATTGCTATTAAGAAGCAACTAAGTTTGTAATAAAATGTGCCATTAGACCTTTTTAACACTACTAGTTAGCAGAATTTAAAAAAACAAATTTGTGATTATTCATATATTGACGATTTTATCACCATTCAGCTGATATATCACAAAAATAATTGCAATGTTTTTTTTCCAAATTAGAAATGAAAATTGGTTTGTTTGATTTTGGAGGAGTTGATTTTTTTTGATTTTGTGGGAATAAAAAAAAAAGGTATTGTAAAAAGGATCATAATTAAAAGGATTATTTATATTGACTAACACCATTTTAGTAATTAGTAGTATAGAAGCAAGGGAGGCTTTGATGTTGATCCTGATTAGTTGGGATTATTTGTTTGTTGTTTTTCGATTTTCTCACATTCTTTTAATTATTTTAATTTATTTTCTAGGAGTAATTTTAAATTTAAAATTTATTGATGGAGTTTCGTTGACTTATTTGACTAGTTGGAATATGTTTTTAAAATTATGCATTTAACTTTGGCACCAATATTTATAACACATCGAATAATTTGATTTGATTGGAAACTTATTATATGTATGTTGTTATTATTTATAATATCATCCATCACCATCACATTTATAATAGTATCATCCATCACATTTTACCATCACACCATCTCATCCATTATGTATTATTGACGTCCATTGTTATGGTGATCAATCAATTCAATTAACCACTAAAAACTAAAAAAAAAAATATTTCGAAACCAACATTAATTAATTATTTTATTTATTAATTAAATTATTATTAATTAATTTTAATTAATTAATATTATTCTAAATTATTATTTTCGAGGGCATACATAGGCTAGAAATAATAATAATAATAATAATAATAATAATAATAATAATAATAACAACATAATAATAGTGTGTGTGATATATCACAAATAAAATAATACTATTAATATAACTGTTTGTTTTAAGAAAAAAAAATTTTTTTGTTTGTTAATTTGAGATGTTTACACTCATACATTCATACACACATACACATTTACCTTTACTTAAATAATGAAATAAATGAGAAAAGTTTAAATATTACTAACTAGATTTGCTTTGTGATCGTAAGACCTTTGTCATTCAAATAAACATTTCTTTATTCGGCTTTCGTCAGTTGTTCGTCATAGTTAATATTTCTTCATCCATATACTTCATATACGCCGCTGATAAATATTAGTTTTTTGAAATTATATAAGCAATGCCAAATATTGTTTAAATGAATTACCTACCTTCCTTTCTTATCTTTTCCCTCTTTTCTTCTCTCCACTAATCATATTATTACTACTATCATTATCCATCACTAATAAATTTAAATCTAAAAATCAACCATCATATATATATATATATATATTAACAATATACAGTACAATGTATGATGATTCCTCTATTACCATTTTACTTGTGTCACAACCAACTTTATAAACAGGGATGAACCCGTCCGTAACTCAATAATTCGCTTGGTCACAACAAAACCAGTCAAGTGAACATGATTTATGTCAAGGAATTTTCAGGAATCAAAATTTTAGTAACTGGTTAAACAAGTACGTTATATTTATTAAACTCATACCGAACTTGTTATCATTCTTTTCTTCTAATCAGGTGGCATTTTCTTAAATGCAGTTTTACTCGGGTTAATTAATTATTCCTTCCCCTTCCTTTATTTATTTGCCTTATTTCCTCTTCCGTTTCTTTCTTCTTATTATTATTAACAAATAATAAAGCACAACATGATCCATTATCGCAAACTGAATCAACTCTCTTCTCCGTTTTTACTTGTTGTTCTTTTTAATACACTCCTGGACTCCACAATTTAACTTATCGCAAAATTTGGTCAAATTAGGAGCAATTTGACGCGATAGATAATCCGGACAATATTTTACCTATTACTATTATTTTATGTCTGTTAAGATTAAACACGGCGGTTTTGTCCTATTGATGTATAAATAACATTTTATGCAACTACACATGGAAGATTATTATGTCACCTAAATGATTGTCACATTGCATGCATATCCTATTCAGGGTCCAATTAGACTATACAATCCGGCAAAATTTCACAAACAGGCTGGAAGTGTAAAGGGGGGTTGAAATTTAAGGATGTTGGCCGAAATTGCCATAAATGACCGAAATTATATCTGAAATAATTTTGAACACTTTATTTATTTCAATAGCCGAAATTCTGGGTAGTTTTTTTTTATGTTTATTATTATGGATATAAAGAACATTATAAATCCGAAATTGCTTGCCCATTTCGGCTAACAACCTCAAGTTAAATACTAATTTAGTAATAATTGCCTTGACTTAACATATGGCTAGATACTTAGTTGGTCAGTGCTAATTTGAGTCACGGGACCAGCCCTGCTGTATTCAAAGAAAAATCTTTTTTTGATTCGCATTAGACAAGGTAGGCAAATTTCACAATATCAAACAACAAATATATTTTACAATTTCATTTCAATAACTCCACTATATAAATATTTACACCTTTGCCACCAGATTTTCATTATAAAACATACAAGAACCAAATCTATCTATAACACAGATCAAAAAAAATCGATAAATTAATCCAATTTGTGCTGCTCGAGAATGTTGAAAATCTGTGGAAGAATTTTAGGCTGTATATAAAGATTTTTTTAAAGTTAATTTGATAAAACAACAACTCTAAACACCTTACCATTAATCTATCTTTACTTCTATATTTTCCACCTAAACCCCTTGAATTTCATTGTGCCTTTGTAAAATTACTAAATTTGTGCTAGTTTCAACATATATTCATTTGACTTTAAAGTAATTGAGTAAAAAGTGAAGTAATTCAAAAGTTACTATAGAACTTTTTTACATTTGGTAAAACATTCATTTTTAAAAAAAATTACAATTTAAATCAGCCACTAGGAAAAACAAAAATCAATGCTAATATAAATCCCAGTCTCTTCCACTTAATATTCTGGTTAGTAATCCAAGAAGTTTTTGAATAAATAAAACATTTTTATTTAAATTAAATTATTTTTTGTTGTAAAAAAATAGAAGGTACTTTTATAAAAACGTTAATTATATAACAATTACGCTTTGGATGGCTATTCCATAGTTATAAATGATGCAAAGGATTATTGGACCAAAAAAAGATATGTTGTAGAGTTGGTTGGGATGGTGTGTGGTGTTATTAGTCTGTGAACGCGTGAACAATTTAATATTTATATTCGTAATTAGATAAGGATTGTGTAATGGTTTAATGTTATATCCTAGAATGATACATTGGTTGTATAAAATGGCAACATCTTTATTCTTTTAATGCTTTTTCCCTCGAATTAGTCATTTTTGATTTACTTTTTCATTGCGATTATTATTAATAGTTTTACGCCAAAATTAATGAAAATATTTTATTATTATTATTATTATTATTATCAATTAAAAACTTTTTTGGTAACGATTGGCATATCATACTCGAAAGTTTTTACTCATTTTGGGATTGGACTATATATAACTTTGAGCGGCAAGTATAATTATTTCATAATATTTTTCTTCTTTTTCTGACTGGAATTTCCACACTTGTTACTAGTCTAACCCTATAAATATAAGATCCAGGGTTGAATTATTTTCATAACGAAGCCCTTCAAAGAAATATTAATATATTTGGAAATTATTGTATACAATGTATCAGTATTATTAAGCAAAAATCTGTAACCGCAGGGTCGATCCAAATTAAATTTTAAAAATTGCAGCTAGATAACTACATATTAATATAACATTGATTTCTTACCGGTTATTAAGACTTCATACAAAATCACACCACATTATAGTCTCCCCATATTTATTATTTGAAAATTAAATCCCTGCAATCTTTCATCATCCTAATCATTTTTTACCTAATCTTACCTATCATCTTATGTGGTTAATGTATCCGTATAAAACTTTGACAAAAATAATTCAAATTGATAGCTTGGATTCTTTTCAACAAGATACCACATGTAATCGGGTATCTATTTTTAGTTGATTCGTATACCTGCCCATCCCAAATCAAAGTCATGTGTGTAGTAATCATTTGATGTTAACAGAAAGTTCAAATTGGTCATCACACCAAGAATTTTCGTTAATATTAGAGAATTCCATATCTTTTGACTAAAGGTTTCATTAATTATTTAATAATATTCTATCTTTGATATTTTTTGAAGTACTTTTGAGTTAGTTATGAAGTTATATAGTTTTCTTCAAACTTTTTCTTCAAGGTGAAAGACTGATTTTTCACCAATTACTAGTCCGAAATTAATATTTCCTTTATATCTGTATTTTTCTTTTGAAACTAACACGATATCAGGTCCTCTTTCTCGGCTTCTCTTTTTCTTTTTCTTTTATCTTTTTAAAAAATATAATTATTTTTGCCCAAAGTAATGAATGTTTTTTTATTTACCTTTTTTTCTTCTTTATCTTCCTTATTAGTATTATCACTGCTATCACTTTCATTTCCGAACTGATCGAACCTTTCTCTTGCCTAAATAATTTCTTAAATAAGTAAAATGATGACAATGAAATAAAAAAAAAACAAAATTAGAACTTGGATCCGGATATTAACTTGGATATCTAGATACTTATATTATTATTATTATTATTATTATTATTATTATTATCCGTTTAAATCATAGTAATAGTAATAGCAATTCAGATATCCTATCCATTTTCAAAGATCTTATCGAGATATCCTATTTAACATTCTTTATTCGTTTGTATTAGATAGTTCACGCCATTCTTCTTTGGAAAAAGATTTTGATAAAAATAAGTTTTGATCTGAAGAAAATTTATAACGGACGAACGTCATGTTTCAAAATTCAACATTGATGCAAGGAATGATCGCTTATTTTGTCCTGTACTGTGTTAAAAATAACTTCTTTCTAACAGTACTTATTATTATTTGCTTTTAAGATGTCGTTTCTTTGTTCTGAGCATTTTTTAAAGGAAAAAAGTTGAGGATCTACGTAGCACAAAAAAATGTCCTTAAAAGATATGGGGCGCGGAAAATAGAAAACCAAAAATTCGGTATTTGTATATCATTTCCCTACACAATAATAACCATAAAAAAAATGATAATCAGGGTTTTGGACATACTAATATAGTGCAAGACACCTAGTCCCACAACTTTTTATTGGCCTTGTAGATCCTTCTCTAACTCCAAAAAAATGGAAATGTAACACCAAAAAAATAAGCCGTAATTTTGAAGCTAAGACTAAGGTTTCTGGCCGAAACTGCTTCTATTAGTAGCCGAAATTGCCCAAATAATTTGGGCAAAAATTATTTTTTTATAAGCCCAAACTACTTTTTGTTATTAGCCAAAATTGGGTGAAATTATTTTAAAGTTGTTTAAGTTAAAACAAGTTGATTCATATAGTTTTTTAATGTTGATGCTTATAGAAAATGTTGAGAAGCCCAAATTGCCCAAATTAGTTTGGGCTTTGAGAAAACAGTTTGGACCAGAAACCTTAATCTTCACATGACTTATTGTGAAGCTATATTGAATTTCTTGTACCTGATTTATTTGTTCAGTGGGAGTTTGGACAAAGCATGGCTTCTAAAGATTGAGGAACCCAAAAATATCCAGATATACTTGGTACATATGGTGGTAATAGTAATATCCATGAAATTTTTTATGGTGAAATCTCATATGGGCCATTTCACCCTGATCCTGATAACCATATTGAAAAAGATGATTTAAGACTGGGAAAATTTGGTAAAGATAGATTAAATGATTCATATATTTTGAATTTTAAATAAAAACAATACTTATTTCAAGGGGTGAAAAACTAGGCAAAGATGGGATAGATCAAATCAAAAAACTTACGCATATATATGATATACAAATTGTGTTGATTCACTTTTTCTGTAAGTTTATTTATTTACTTTTTGAAATTCGCCTTGGTATATTTATTTTACTAATAATTATGACATTTTTCTAGATACAAAAGTAAGTTTTTACCTAATGGATAGAAAGTATTCACTGGCTTATCACAGAGTCTTCCTTGGGTCTTTAAATATGAATACAACAAGAAATTTTAAGAATCCACAATTTTTCCAACTCTCATGGAATATACGTAAATTAATACAAAGAAACTTAGATTTATTAAAGCATCAAGTAATACTAGGAGAAATTAAAAATTCCAACATGGTGAATAATAGCCCTAAAAGAAAAAAAGATATTGAAGAAAATGATGATAATCATTGCAAACCGTTTTCTCCTAAACAGGGTAAAAAAATCAATGATTCTTTTTATTTATTAATTAACACAACATCTTCATTTATTTAATTTAATTTTATAATGATCGGACAATTAGTTATTAGAATAATTAGAATAATAAAAACTTGAGAAAACAACATTTTTACTTTGATAAATTATTTTAAAATAGGACTAACCAAAAATGGAAATAACATATTATGCAAGGATTGTTTATAATTCGTTTTTAATGGAAGAATGGTTCAATTTATATATGATTAATCAAAGATGTAAAAATGGTGATGATTGAGATGTAATGATACTCAAGATGCATTTAATTAAGAGATTCTAAAACTTCTTTCATAATTATTGCAGTTTAAATTCTGTTACAAATGAATAATTTTACAATAATTCTTAAAAAAAACTATTTTAATAATAATGATGAAACAAATAATAACTAATAATATTTGTTTATTTATAATTTATTGTGATATGAATATATAGATATATTTATATATGAGGGGTTTTCTAGCAAAAACCGGGTATAATAGTCGCGTGACATATCTTTTCATATTAATATTAATAGTAAAATTTTATAATCGAATGTCTTCACACCCTCATTTGATACCCTTGCTGTGTAGTGACCACCGCCAGATTTGAGATATAATTTCTTTATCGTATGTATCTACTTTATGAAAAAGCTTAAAGCAGGTTGTTAATAAAACCGAAAATAATCTGACCCTCAAAGTCAAATTTTGCCTTTATATTCATATGCGTA